GTGCAATGAGTAACATAAAGAGAGCCAAAGGAAATTAAGCAGTAATTAATTAATTCCAGAAGAGAATTTGAACTGAGTGAACAGCGGTATATCTGTCTTTTTAATTGAGTACTGAAACTTAGAAAGAAAATAAAATCGAGTCCCATCCCTGTAACCAGAGACGTTATCATACTGTACAAAAGGGGGGGAATTGACGTTAAAAGGGGAGAATCTAAGATTACACACAGAGCCTTTATATTGAAGTTACCTAACACTGAGCACATGACCTAGCATTCCTAACAATATTATTTTAACATAATTTTTAATGTGTAATTATTTATAAAGCTGCAGACAGTAGGTGTGTATGATGCTTTATAGGCGTGTAAAATTGTCTGATCCCTGCCCCTAGGAGTTTGCGTGATGACACCACACATGGGATGGGAAAAGAGGGGGTATGGGAGGACAGGGTTGCAACACTGTGAGATCATGAGATGTACTTACTGCTACATAAGCAACATTTCAGCTTCTCTGTGGTTTTCTTGTTACTCATTTAACACTATATATTAAAATTTGGTGAACAGATACATAACACAAAGACATCAACCATAAGAAAGGATATGAATAAAGAGAACTATGTAGTACAATGTTCAGACTCAGCAGTTAATATTAAAACATTCACAGGCAAACGTTGCATGTAGTCAATTATTTATATGGGTTTAGCCCTTGGCACCTCCAGCTGAGGTCTGGATTCTGCTCCACCAGGCACTGTACAAATGTATCGTGAGATATGATAGCTGTGTTATGGTTTTCGCTGTAAAAAACCAGTCAGTGTCAGAAGGGGATCTCACAGGCAGAGAGACCAAGATGGTTTAACAGGTTACAGGCAGAGCTAAGAGTAGAACTAGAGTTTTGACCTTTTTTTTGATATTCTAATTGCTAATTAGTATGTGTACTTGGATTACAATTGCTTGAACAAGAATCCCCAAACCAAACCAAACCAAAAGGAGTGCACTTTCAAGTTGCTGCCATGAACAGAAAATTAAAACTGAAGAGGAAAGACCCCAGCTTGGAAACTCTGGAATACATGTATCTTCCTTTAGAAATTTCTGTTTCTGTGCTCTGGAAACTGAAGTCGATTAGTGCTCTGCTGTGCTGTTATATTTGTTTGTGCAAAGCCTGTGGTTGGTGTAATTTCTGACCTGGCCACAACCTTACCCTGCTATGTGCAGACAAACATATCCCATGTCAGAGACTGTACCCTTAAATGCTCACAAGTTTCCTCAACTTCAGCAGCAGATGAAAACCCTGCTGTGATATTCTAATGCTCTCAGACATTACAGCCACAGAGAGACCACCTAGAACATCCAGTTAACCTCCCCAGAAACTCTAAGAAAAATTAATTTAAAGCAAAACATACAAATAATTGGAGGAAGCCACATGGCAAAATATTCTTCATGTGGAGCACAGGCTAAATCTTTGGAGCAAACCTATATGAGAACTGTGGACTTGATTCTGCTCTTCATTGCAGTTCTTCACAATGGATGGGCAAAATACTACCTGGACTTTTTTTACAGCCCTTCACACTCCAAATATAATTTGCTTCCACTTTAAGGGTACTTTTCACAATCTACCAAGTACAAAATTATTTTAGCACATAGCACTATTAATTCTTAGGAATTTATTTCACTGGCTGAAAAGCCCAATTTTTAGTCAGCTTTACAATTTAAAATGGCAACTAAATGTTTCCATTATCCTTATTAACCTTTTTTTCCCCAAGCCTTGGCCAAATTAGTCACTAAATAAAATTTCTAGCTTCAGTAGAGCTCAGACTCAAGGAGAACTCGGTCTCACTGCTGCTAACCCCTACTACGTTACAGCAGCAACGCATTGCTCCAGTTTTTTTGTTCTTATCTTCCTTTGAGAACTGAGTTTAGATCACCAGTGTACAAAGTAGGAGAAAGAAAGGAATGAGTAAAGTCTGTGTAAAATTTTCCTTTACATTTTGTAGCTTATGAAATGTCCTTAAAACTCTGTATAGTTTGGTTGTTCACATGAAGTGCATTTTGACTTGATTGGGGATTCATGAGGCTGGTTTGGTCCTTAAAGTAGCCCATTCATCAAAGAGTTATGTAGAATTTGAGTTCCCAACATATTTTACTAGTGGGGTGGCAGTTGTTCTGACTGTGAAAATGGAAATTGATGTTCTCCAAATTTGTCTGTACTCAAAGCTGTACTAAGAATAAATTTATATCTGATTAAAACAAGAATTTCATGCAAATAGTTTTTAAAAAATACCTTTTTCCCTTTCCTTTACACTTAGGAAGTGGCTTTTAAAAACTTGGCAGCTTGACCTCAAAAGGATTTAGAGGAGCACAATTTTCAAAGCTGCTTTGTTTACAAAGATAGGTTATGAGTGGAATTGGATTTACCATCAAATATTACTGGCACATTCCAAGCATAATATTTAAAAGGATATTACTCTCAGCATCACTGTTGTGTCAGTCTAAGTGGTTGCTGACATAAGATTAAAGCACATCACAAATGTTGAGTTTTTGCTATATCACTAAGCTGATCTGGAGCAATTTTGTTGTCTCAGAACCAAAAAAATAAATAGTAATTATGAAAAATAACTGCATGCCCCAAACAACAACAACCTATTTCAGTCCCAAGCCTCTGTTTTTAAATTACAGATATATTAGATAAATACAGAGTATTAAGCATTATAAAATCAAAGGAAAAAAGAAAGAAAAAAAGAAAGTAGGAAGCCTAGCCCAATTTCCTGCTCCAAGCAAGGCTAGCTTCAAAGCCAGAGGCTTCACCTGGCTGACTTCTGAGAATCTCCAGACATGGAGATTCCTCAACTTCCCTGGGAACCTTTTCCACTGCTTGACCACTCCCATTTTGAGGAATTCCCTCATATTTAATTTTTATTTCCTTTAGAGAAGCTGCTTCTTGTCCTTTCACACTTCATGCCTGAGAACCCTGATAGTCCTCCTTTTGTTAGAGGGAGACTGCAACCAGGTCCCTCCTTACCAACATCGCTTTCCCACTGCTGTGAGCAATCATTCCCCTCACACCTCCTGTGCTCCAGTGCCCCAGCCCCCTCAGTGGCTCTCCACTGGACCCTCTCCAGTTTTCCAGTCCCTCTCTTGAACTGGGAGCCCAAGACAGGACACTGCAGCACTGGTGCCTCTCAGCACCTTCCTGACTGCAATGGACAGTGCATCACACTATACTTCCAGCTTCCACTCCTTTGGCTCAGCCAGACCCCTGGACCTAAGTCCTGATGGAAAGCTTCCTTGTGCACTCTTTCCAAATAGTAAAAATTATATGGGCTTGTGGGGCAAGGGCAAATCTAAATGTCATGGACAGAATATGTATCTTTGGCTGAGGCAAGAGATGGAGGGAATACTGACTTTCAAGAGGGAGTGTGTCACAACGACCTATGGCTAATCCTTCATTTGATTAAAAAGCCAGGAAAAGCTCCCCCCAAATTGTAGCTGATTAGTATTGTTATTAGAGGGCTTTGCTTTGATGTCTTTGGTCAACAAAACGCTAACTTCCTCTTCCCCCACTGAACATGCATGTGTGTTTTTCAAACCACTTCAGATCCTGCATTTTGAAGAAAAGTTGGGATAGGCTATTTACCTCAAAAGGACCAGTGTAAGCCTACTAAAACTAATGGGTTGCTTTTCTGGATCAGGTCTGGAATGTTAATTGCAGTTACTATACCAGCCTATCTAATTCTTCCAATAGAAACTGCATCAGAACCTAAGACACTGCAAAAGGAAAAATCACAAGGATAATTAATTCTGGAGCAAGTATGTAAGTGAGGCTTGACCTTATCCCCACTGATACTGATGGATAAAGAAAAACCCCAAGATCATTCCAGTAGGTTAAATACTGACTTTCGTCTAATTTATCCCTAAGTTATCACCTACTGCATGATCCAAGATGAAGTTCTCACTCAGAAATGTGTGGATGGAAATAACTAGGTCATGATACATGCTTTTATGAAGAGGGTACAGATTAACAGCTGAATGGAGAGAGACCAGAAAGCACAGACTTTGTGTCAACTGAGAATTCAGAGGAATTTCTGGCCCCGGTCCCATGACTCTGCAGCATCACACAGAGTGGATCCCTGTCAGTATTACCAGGCCACCCTCCTTGCTGGAGACACAGCTTCCTATTTGGCTAGCTTGTATTTGCAAAGTCCTATAAATTTTGGGTTCCCTTTGCAGCTCTGCCACCAACTATGTGAGTTTTGGCAAACAAACAGTGTCAGAGTCATTTGTGCTTGAAGGCAGTTTCTAGTTAAACTCCAGGTTCTCGTATTTTCTTGCAAAAACTGCAGAAAAATGTTTGTTTATGGTAAAAAAAAAAAAAAAAAAAAAAGAAAAACAAGGAGAAAAGAAAAGGAAATATGCTGAAAAGACCCCCACCCTAAAGTATAACACCAGTAGATGTTAGCATTAGGTGAACATATATACACACATATATAAATATATATATGTGTATATATATATATATAAAAATATATGTGTGTATATATAATATATATATATATATATATATGTATGCAAACATTTCCAAACCAATCTCCAAAGTTCACTGCATGCAGTCCGTTTCCACCTGGCTTTCAGTGGCTTGAATTTTCCATTATATGACCTGCATGTCATTTTCCTGGATGAATATACGGTAACATTTTTAAAAACTTCAGGTGCTGTCAGAAGTACAAAATAAACCAAACTGTAACAGAATTATTTCTTATTCCATGAAGAAATCAACTCTGGAGGGCAGCGGTCTTTTGCAAGAAATGTAACTGCAAGTTCAAACAAAAAAGTGACCTTTGCCTGTTGCTACAAGTATGTTGCTCGAGGGGATTTGGCAGTGAGCTTTTCACTGGGAGGAGTCACTTGGCATTGGTACTGGTTTATGAAAGAGCAGAAGAAAGTATAAGTTGGTTTTCTTAAATGAGTCCCTACCAGGAGGACAAGTGCTGGTGGCAAGTAAATGTTTACCTCAGTGGAGCGCTGTCAGGTCCCACGCTGTCGCAGGAAGCGTTCTGCACGGCGCCCGTCTCTGTGCCACACACTGCATCTGCCTCAGCTGGGTCCATGTAGCCATTGACCAGCTTGATCTCCCTCCGCTTCATACTGTCATTTTGTGAATCCAGAGACACAATGTCAGACGGGGAGCTCACAACACCCGAGTCCTCCGTGGTGTCCTCTGATGCAAAGCAGCTGCTTTCTGACGCCGTTTCTTCCACCTCCGATAGCTCCAGAACCGTGTCATCCACTACACAAACATTATCATGTGTAGACAGCAGGCTCTCTAAATGAAATACAGCAAGAAAAGTTAGCTGGAAGTCATCAGTACATAAATCAGAGAGCTGTCCCTTTGTAATTGGAAAAACCCACATGAAATGCATTAGAAATGTGAAGAAGGGTGCTCAGTATTTGTATATAAGATAAAGATGATTTGAAAAGTGACAAAAATGATGTCCTTTGCTTTTAGAGATGTGGTTTGCTATGGTGGTCCTCAGGGGTTTATAACTGCCAAAGCAAATAAGTTTCCTTAATTCTCTGGAGAAACAATTTTCCAGGGACAGTTTCTTGAGGAATTAGACTGAAGTTTAAATGACATGGTTCAAGAAATCACTCCTGTTACTCCTTATGGCAACATAAGCTCATTATTTCTATGTCAAACAGATAACATTTCCAATAAGAAGTCTGTGTACAGGTAAAAATGGGCAGCATTTCCCAGTCAGGACACAATTGGTAAACTAGATCTACTGATGGCCCCATGGGTGTTACTGATTTTATCTCTTAAATTTTTCTCTTTTTCAAAGCATACAAAATCTCCTAATAAGTGTACAGAAAAGTAGACAGCATCATATTTAAAATAGAAACTTTTCCAATATTTAGTTATTTATAAAGGAGATCAAGGGATATGCCCTTTGCATGTTTGATTCTCTTAAAAGCTGGACATTTTGAGAGGAGGTTTGAAACAGTGTAATTTCTTGTATCCTGTTTCAGTTTGGTTCCTATGAGCTACCCCATTTTGTGTTTTTTTGGTAAAAAAACATAATTCTAATTTCTCTTAAGAAATGTACTCAATTTCATCCTGCAATCATGCCACTAAAGGAGAGCTCCCAACCAGGTCAATAATTTCAATGACTGAAATTACTGAGTGACGAAACAGAATCAAGCCCAAACACACTTCTCCTGATCAAAAGGAATCAATAAAGACTAATCTAAATGTTTAATTTGGAATTATAAGTGTGCTCCATTCTCTTCTTGAACCTCAGTAAGCAACAGGAAGATTAAACAACAGTTTATGGTCTGATCTTCCAGACATTTGTGGTGGATGTTAATTACATGTGAAGTCCCAGGTCTGCAAGTGTGACTAAGATTAAACATACACTTCACTGTATTTTAGGCTGGGAATGAACAACTATTTGGAGAATATATGAAGCTATAGCTCAATAAAAATGATCGACAGAGAGAAATACTTCTGAACTCTGTTGTATACATAAAAGTATTTTGTTCAAGTCAGAGAACTGAAAACAACTTTGTCAAAGAATGTCACAGAAATAATTTTGTCAGGGTATAGCTTAGCAGTGAAGCTTTGAGTAAAACCAGAATAAAAATCAAGCCACCATTCTCCTTGACTGAGGTTACAAGATGCCATTAAGTACTGAAATTGATTTCTGACTGTAGAAGCAATAAAATTCAGAGGGTTACAAATCATGATTAAACTTCTAAGTGCTGTCAAGCATTGATATTAATGATGGAAGATGATTCAAAGACTCTATTGCAACTTTGGAAGCAATGTTATTTGATTTCTTTGACCTTATTTTCTGTAACATTAGTTCTAGATTCTGGATATAGTCTCAGAGATTATTCCATTTTAAAATGGTAATTACAGGAACAAAGCATGTGCCACTGAATGGATTTGAGTATGCTAGCCATAGAACTACAGTTAGCAAAACACCAACATGAAGGATAAAAATGAACATCAAATAATAAAACCCCACAAAAACTCACTGTGAACAAACAGGTATGACTATATGGCTTCTTGGCTTTTAGACAAGCAAACAAACAAACAAACAAAAAAGCCTAGTAACAAACATTAGTAAAAGTTACAATATGTTAAAACCAGGACAAATTAGGATAACAAAGAAATCAATTTATAGAGTGGAAATAGAAGAGTGAAAGTACACAGGAAGATTTTGAAGTAATGCACAATGCAGTATATATACCTTAATGTAAAGAGACCTCTCTGTAACACATGACAAATCTATTGTCACATGGATGCCATAAACGACCTCCACCCTATAGCTGCCATAGCAATTTATAGCCAAGCACCTACTCCCAGATCCTGACACGAGGGGGACAGCCTTTTCCTCACTCACTGTCTCTTGCATTTCCTCATCCTCTTCTTGCCTGCCTGCAACTATTTCCTGCATCTTTCTGCTCAAGGATTTAGATCCTTTTGGTCACAGAGCCCTACTTGCCTACTGCAAGTAATAACAGCACTCAAGTCTCTCCCTGCTCTGCTGCAGGATCCCCAACTCCAGCCCACTGTCCTCACATGTTGACAAACAGAAGGAAAACCAATCTCTTGTTATCAGAGTTCACGGGTGAATTGATCCCTGTTACCTCTGGATCTTGGCAGCTGAATCACCCAGGCCAGAATAAGAACCTCCTCATTCAACAGCAGTTTTATCCTGAAGCATGGAAATACAAATAGACATCTTTCCACTCAATGATTAAATTCCCAAAGCTCAAACAAAACTAAAATATTCCCCTTTCTTCAAACATATCAGTTTGACACAATGCTTCCCTATTTTTTATCTTCACCAAGACGATTAATAAATTTTTAACACAGTTAATACATGGCACTCAACAGAGTTATTGGCTGAGCCAAACCATTTTGATTGCCACTACTACTTGTCTGAACATGAAAGCACACACATAAAACACAACAGTGATGGTTCTGTGTCATGTTAACAACCTTGTTTCAGCGAAGAGCAGCATTAAAACAACCCTGTTTCAAATCTGAGCCATTCTTGGATGGATTAAGTAAGAACTATTCTTCTTCCTACATGCTTGATTAAGTCTTCACTGGTGCAAACTGAAGATGGGATGGGCATTACTGGGTAATGACACATGACACAAAGAAAGCCTACCTCAACATTACTGAGTGGTCTTTCTCCAGGAGACCTAAAATACTTTATAAAGCTTTCTAATTCTACTAGGAGAACAGCATAATATTTAGTAGTAGATGTGATTCCACCTTGCAATTTTTGCATTTTTTTCTTCCACCCCACACTAACACAGTGACCATAATGATGGCACTACTGAGGTTTTTTGTTGGTCAAATAAAGAAAAAAAATCTTAACATTTTCTTCTTTTTCCTCTGTCATAACACTAAGACAAATTCAGGCTCTAATCCCCAGGACCTCATGCAGACATATCCAGGTTAAGAAAGAGTATTCAGCAAGTACTTCAGAATTGAAAGCACAAATTACAACTGCCACAGATAACATGGTATTGAAAGATTTCTCTACAGAAGGCTGAGTTTTCAAACATATAACAATTTCAGTAACGTAACCCTATTCACTGGCATCAGCTGGGGTGTGGTACTGAAAAGCATGTAGAAGTTGGTCCATGGTCTCCAAGCTATTCTAAAATCTCTGTGGGACATCTCACCCCCACATCAAACTGGAGAGAGTCCTTCAAAGCCTTGCATTGCTGCTTACCTATATCCTGCTTCAGACTGCACACACTGCTAAGCCCACATGAGTGCTGTACCAGGGATCTCCCCAGATTTGCAGCAGCAGGGCTGTCACTGCACAATTAGGTCAGCCACAAGTTACAAAGGCTTTCTTGCAGAGGGGGACGGACGGACTGGGACGTCTATTTGCAAAAATGTTGCCCGTGATCACCAAGAGGGAAAGAGGAGAGTAGCTCATGAGTAAGGAATGTGAGCTTCTTGTTTAACACAAAAGAGATCTTGTTGCTTTAATCTCAATAGCCTGTAAGTAATTAGGAAAACACTGAACTTTGAGTTTAGAGGAGTCATATCTGCACTTGTGCAGTTTGATATTGCATATATGTACACATTACTCATCCAGAATGCCAATGATGGGGAGACAGATAAACCTCACCTGGTTTAAATGTGAATCAGCACTTCCAGAAATGAAGATGTAATTCAATATGTGAAGACCACCATGGGTAAAATACTCAACTTTGATTACTACTATGAAAAACCACTATCAAAATTGAATTAGATTAGAATTGGATGTAAATGTTCAAAAGATGCCTATCCCATCTGGACTTACAAAATCCCCAAAGCCCAAGTCATCACCCCTTCAGAGTCCAATGGGCACTGAGTGTAAATCCTAACTGTTCAGGAAGTGCTGTGACCTGGTTTTACAGCACTGCTGATATTTTGTTATTACATTCAATAAGGACAGACATAAGATGTAACAGTTGATTCCACCCTTACATGATGAGTAACCTGAACTTCACAATCATTTTAGAGATAGATTAGATTTAGAGTTAGAGTTTCTCTAACTTATCTAACTCTTGCTAACATGTTGGTAATTGTTTTAAAATTTCTTTCCTCATTTGTTTCATTGCCAAAGAACTTTCTTTTCATGGACTAAAATTGCTTTGCTGTAGTGGTCCAAGTAGTGTATTATAATGAAGTTGTAAAAAATTACCACAAACTTCATGATGTTAAAGAATATTAATTCTTATAATGATCCCCAAATTATAACATAATTCTTTCACTGACAGTACTTAAAACTTTTACCAGGAGAAAGAAACACTGCTCTAATTATTTGTCCTGGCAGTAAAAAGTTGAGACCATCACTAAAGACCAGTATTAAAATACTGTGCATTTTTTTCATATGCTTGGAAGAAGGCTGATGGAAGAAACAGGAAAAGATAACATTTGTTATGGCAATTATTTACAGAGATTATGAAAATGAAGAACACAGGATTAGCTTAAGGGTTTTCACACAGGTACAGTGTGTTCTTGTTACATTTTACTCATTTTTCTCATGGATCAAAAACCTGTTTATAGAGATAGGTGTTAAAGATCACTCAATGAGCAGATAAAGCAGTACAGACTGGGTGGTCTTCTCTCTATTGTAATTAAAATTTTAATTTTAGCATATTTGAGCCTACATGCATACTTTCTTATTTAAAAAAAAAAATCAAAGAAACAAAGAGAAAATAAATTACTACTGCTATACTTTAACAATATTATTATGGGAGCACGGGAATGGATCAATTCCAAAGCACTACTCTCCCAACTTC